TAGAAAAAAATTTTGTTATGCAGTTTGCAAAGTAATTTACATAGAAGAAAGTGCACAATGCCGTCAGCTAAAAAATTTATAAAAAATCAACAGAATTTTTTAGTTACTTCAAACTTGCACCTTATTGTATTAAATTTTAATGAGCTATAAAACTGAATAACAATTTTTTTTCTAGACATCCAAGTTAAAAACCGTGGAATTGTGTTCAAAAGTTTAAGAAATGTTTATAATTTTCGTAAAAAGGTTGCAATTTGGATGTATGCGGGTTTTGCTCGACAATGAGCTATACAGTAAAACCCGCTTAAGTACATTACGAAAAATTTCACCTTTTTGAGGTACTCAGACGGGTTGGGTTCAAGAACCTCGATGCGGGTACTTAAGCGAACATAATTATTGATGTAGTTACATCTTCATGTTATTTTACATAATACTGTAAATACTTGAATAACAAATGAACATTTAATGAAGTGTACGTAGGACTATTTAAACCCATAAACACATAAACAAAAACTTTATAATAAAAATCGATAAAGACATGTTATGTCATTTTTACGAGAATTCAATAGTTAAAGTCATTGATTATACATATTTATATATACAAGAACATTCATTTCATTGAAGAATATTCATTTTAGTAATTTTTGGACACACAAGGAAGCAAAAAAGGAAATTATTAATAAACAACTTCAATTGCCGCACAAGAACACAATAAATATTGCCGAAATTTTTAAATTTTCATTGCCACATGATTGCCAATCGAGCTATCACACGATTGCCGCAACCGGCCTCTATTGCCGCATTCGTCAATTTATTAGGGAATCACACAATTGGGGGATAAAATTAGGCAATAATAGGTGTATTGCGGCAATCGTGGGGCCTCAGCTTTAGTACCAAAAACAACGGAGCTACAAGCATCTTTTTAAAAAACCCAAACCTGTTCTTGATACTCATTGAATAGTGGTTTTGCTTCTTCTGTAAAATAAAAAAATATGTTGGTTGCGGCCTTTGTGAATTAAGGTGACGATATGTATTTGTCGAAATTTTTCAACAAAAATTCTTTACCAAACCTTTCCAAAAGTTTAATGTGTTTTGATTGAGATTTTTTACGTAACTTTTACCAAAATTTCCAATTTGTTCTACTGAGATTGCGAGGAGTTAACATGGCTTCTAAAAGTCTGGTTAAAAAATAAACCCCTCCTGAAAGATTTTATTAAAAATCGTCCTTAAAAATGCCAGTTATGGAATTACTTTTGAAAAGATTTTTTCTTGTTTGTACAATAACTCATGCAATTTGTACTTTTTTCAGTATCTGAGTGCAAAGAGTGCTGGAAAACGATTCGAACTGGCTATAAAAGATGCATCGAAAAATGCCACGTCAATCCAAATATCCAACCTTACTATTTGGCTGAGCATCTAACATTTCTAGAACCATTCGTAAGAAGAGAAGCTACAAAAGGAGAAGTACTAGTCAAGAAAAATATCCAATCATGGCGCAAGCGCAAGCACTTAACCAATACCACTGCGATTACAAATACGAATGTAAAGACTAAGGGCTCAATCAAGGACTACTTCATTATACCGCCAATGCGCTCATGTTTAGGGAATACTGAAATAGTAAACAACAATAAAGAGTTAGACAACACTCCATCGACGTTAGCAGCAGCAACAGTAACTCGTTCAGAAGCAAAAGAGCCACGAGCAGCAACAACATTAGAAGCAGCAGCCAAAGCAACAACAGAGGCAACTAAGCTCCAATTTATAGTCAACCATGAAAATGTTAACAACCATGAGCAGGACAATTTTACGCCGATTTCAGACGAAGAATGGGCAGCAGCAGTTAGAGCAATGGAAACAATGCAAACAATAACAGATTCACGATCAGCAACAACAGCAAAAGACGCACCAGCAACAAAAGACAAATACCAGGATAATGAAAATAAAATTCAGTCTGATGATAAACGATTTTTGGAAAACATATCGGAAGCAATGCAAAAAATGAATGATCGTTCGAAAAGTAATTTCAAAGTTCAGGTTTATGGTATCTTGGATAAATATCAAAATATATGCACTTAGCAACGTAAATGTCCGGTAAACATTTGCTAAAGGGGGATGCGCAAGTTTTTTATTCACTAGTATATCGATAATCTTATCTTATAAAATAAATGATTAAATAAACAATTGGGTATTATTATTGGGAATCTCCTGCAGATAAACAGAGTTTTCTGGTAGAAAAATATTTATTTTTAACTAATAACGGGTGATTTTTTAAGAGCTTGATAACTTTTTTTTTAAAAAAA